ATTCGTTGGAATTCCCCCGTCTCGACGACTACCTCCCCTTACCGCATGCTTCATAGAGGGCTATTGGGGGTTTGTTTCTACACGACGGGATGCTACGGGAGCAGTATGTTTTATCACCAGCTGTCTCTCTAGAATCCTGTTGATCAATGGAACGCCGTTGTGCATTTGATTTTTGTTTAAAGGGGAAAGTTATCCAGGCTTACAAAAAGGCGTGTGGCAGCGATTTGTTCGTTTCTTCAGAGTCACGTCACGCCGGATGTCTCTGCTGCTCTTGTAGCCGCGTAACCGTCCTTCGTACCCCAGGGACCAGTGAAAGGTGTGATATTGCTGGCGCCTGGGGTTTTGGGTCTAGAGCGCGACAACAGCAGGTATCTAGTCGATGGAGAGCTATGGTTTCTCTTGTGGCGGGCAAGCTATCCTCGCGTAGAGCAAATGCAACGGAAGTGGGGGCACTTGTAGCTAGCTCACAGATCAGCGTTGTTTGCTGGAGTGCTCTGTGCTTTTCTTCTTCTTTTGCTTGATTTTAACACATTAAATTATGTCTGTCCATAGATGAAGGAAGGGTTCTTGTTGCACCGCCGTAGATCGGCGTGGCTGCGGTCGATGGCGCAAGGTGCTGACGATGATGCCACTTGGGGACACAGATCTGCGGATCCTGTGTGGATTGACGTGGAAGCGGGCGGCGGCGGCGCTGCGATGGACGGGCGGGGTGTAAGTAAACGTGTGCCCGGCGGGGGTGCGGCTTCGACCCCAGGAACAGCGGCCGCAGGTACTGAGGCCGCTACCGCATTGCCGCCGCGCACATTTACCCATCCATCCCGCCCGCAACAACGACCATCGCAGCGCTGCGGCCCGCGTCCTCGTCAATCTTAACAGGATCCGCAGCTCCGTCTCTAGGTGGCGTCGCCACCGACCGCAGCCACGACCCCCCGACCCTATAGTTTCTCAATAGCCCACACAGCGCACTATTTATCTTACCGCCACCATGTACATTAGGACGCCTCCGAGTAGTTGTGGCCGAATTGGTACTTACCGCTGAGGAGAGCAAGGGAAATGAGGGGGCGTCTAGCGTTCGAGGTGGGGAAGCCAGCGCACGAATGCTACCTACTGCAGCAGCGGTATTTCCTTTCAGAATGAGGCCTTTTTCCCGACATGGGACATAAGCTTGCGCACCGGGCAAGCGTTCAGTCCGCACGTACCGTGGTGCCTGCCACCACGCTCTGGTCTATCTACATAAGCCGCTGAAACAAGAAGGCGCGGTTGATGGTACATACCTGACAATACCGGGCCGGTTCTATTCCAGTTTTCCGCCATTGCTTCGAAAAGCAGTCTGTCCTGCTTGCGAGGGTCGTCGCACCACACACGCAGTGCACTTGCTCACGAAGTGCGACATTCCTCTCACAGTACCTACCTTTGATGTTCTGTGGGGACCCACGAGCTGAGATCATTGGCGTTCTGCATAGCGCGTGAGATGTTGTGCGTCCAATACCTTCGGCTGTGGAAATAGGCAAACATGAAAGGTCGGTCGCCCTGAGCCCTCTTCCCCAACAGGAACTGCACCCCCCAAGGGCCCCCGCGATTCACACATGCCGGAACATGCCGACAAAGTTAGTCAAAATTGTTCGAGAGAGTGAAATGAGAGAGGTTCGGGGCATGGTAGAGTATCACTGGAGCTGACGGGGAACACCCTGTACAGGGCAGAGAATGGGACGATTTTCTAGGACACGAAGAACAAGCGACTTGAAACGCGTTTTTCGCGATGAAGTAGCTTGCTGCTGCAGGCACTTGATTCCTGTGGCATGCTTCTTCCGCGGAGGAATCCCCGTCGCTTGTGTGGTGAAATTGTCGTGAAATCGCATGTGTTTGTGTTGTTGGAGACGGTAGGGGGCCGGGTTTGTGTATTTGGGGGAGGGGGGGGGGGGTACTCAAAGTCGTGCATGCCGTAGTCGTTAGACCATCGACCTCGCATCCCTTCAAAGCCGGGACGGAGCACGCCGGGTTCTCACCGGACCAGGCTCTCACATCACCAAGCGCGAAGCGCCGTGAGATATTAGGCGAGTCGCATGAAGGGTGCGCTGCATCCTGCTAAGGGTTTTCGGCATCTTGTGCTTACTTCTTTGCGTACGGATGACAGCTGCGTATGACTTAATTTATTTTTCTGGTGCTTCCACTTCCTGAGACAGTTATAAGCACTGTGTAACTGCCTCGAGGGTGCTTGACCATTTTAACACAACGTGGTGCGATCATCCCACTTGCGCGGAGTGAGGGTTCTCGACCCCGCACAACATGATCTAGATTACTCGACCACCATTATGGTTACCGCCAAAAAAAAAACAGAGGAATAAGAAAGAGCGGTAACCTGGCTGCCGAGTTCACGAAGTGAATTGGCTTGTTTTACAACGTCGTTGCCAAGCGACGAAAACCCAATCCCGATGGCNGGGGGGGGGGGGGGGGGGGGGGGGGGGGGGGGGGGGGGGGGGGGACTGACCTATTTCGGGGTGTGTTTGCCCTAGACATTGGACCGTTTGAGAGCACTACCTTCTCGAAAGGGAACACCGCTCAGCCTGCTGTTTCACGAGAAAAAGGAACACCGTCAACGTTCGGATATTAATAATTGATTGCTGCTTTTCTGATTGGGTGGGCAGGGACAACCGCAGGTTCATGCAGTAGGGTAGCTTCCAAAGGCAAAAAACTGCCTAGACGTACGCGAGATGCCTCGCTCTAACCTCTAACCCAGTCCCGTTGGAGGGCGGGGGGGTAGTGTAGTTGGTGCAATAGACCGAGTTCTAGAGGGCAAGGGGGGCACTGTAAATAGGGTTGTCGTGTGTCGCTGCACGCAAGAGCATGATGATCGAGAAAGGAGACTACCATCCCGTCTCTGTCGCTCTCGGCCCTCTTGAGGTCTTGCCGAGCGCAAAAGTAGTCCACGCAGGTCTTCCAAGCAAGCAAACATTCTGGATAAAGCATAAAAGTGGTTAAATTGGGGTTAGGTGAGGGTGAGGGTCTGCGTGCCTCTTGACCGGTCTTGATTCGTGATAACCTTACTTTGTTTGCGTAGGCAGCCCAGCACGCACGGCTGGTTGCTAGCGTTGTCGCTGCTGCCGCCGCTGCTGATGCCGGTGCTACTCTTCTCTGCTTGTGTTCGCTTGCTTCAGAGTTGAACAAAGGTGCTGCTTCTGGCAGCAGCAGCAGCAGCAGCAGCAGCAGCAGCAGCAGCAGCAGCGGCGGCGGCGGCAGCAGCAGCCACTGACCGGCCTCGCCATGTCCAACACGAAGAAAATGACCGCAATGTCATCCATGGAGGCGTTTTTCAATGATTTGACAGGTGCGTATGCGGCAGCAAAGTAGTAGCCCATGGCCTCACCTGGAAGCTTCGACGCGACCGAACTGTACATGGACCACAAATAGTGTACGGGGGGTGTTTGTTTATGTTTGTGTTGCTTTTTGTTTTTTGCTCTCGGGGGATGCATAAAAATACTCCAACATGACGCGCGCGAAGAGGTGCAAATCTTCAGTAAGTCGGCGAAACATTTGTCGGGTCGTTTGCCGACGACCGACGAAAAACAACTAGCCGCCACCTGTTATGTTGCGGAGCATTTTTGTCGAAAGCGTGGCGCTTCACGATCACAAGAGTTACGGGTGGGAGCCCCTGACACGGCAGCAACAAGCGCTCAAGAGCACTCGCTACGTTTTCAGCAGCAGCAGAGCGAAATCCAGGGGGCGGTGGTCTGCAGGCAGGGGGTGAGGAGGTTGCGAGGGCACACGACGGTACACGCGCGTGTGTTGGGCAGGAAGCAACCACTGTCGTTGTCATCACACAGGCCAGAAGAGAACCCTTGCGGCATGGTATTCTTGCTGCAGGTTGTTTGTTGCGGTATGGTATTCTTGGCGATTTGTTTGTGGTGTCCTCGGCGAACAGCAGTAACGGCTTCGTTTTAGGAGAGATTGCTCAGCAAGATAAAGGGCCGGATTTCGGAGATTAAACGCCGCTTGTCCCGGTGATGAGAAATAGAAGCACATGTAATGCAAGGTAGCACCGGCCCGTTGAAGACAATACAGTAGGTGTCCCGGTATAGTGCCGGTTTGTGTCCAGGGGGGTGGACCGGCACTTTACCGGCCACCGGCACTATTCAGAATTGTGCCTTAATACTGCAAAGCCCGCACTATTCAGGGTCTCATAGTCCCTCGAAGTGCCGGCTTGGCACTAGTGAGGACTGATCGACTTCAGGGTGCAGCGCTTACGTTTTGCGGGGCTGACAGAGTACCAAACGAACGGTATACGGATCAATCGTGAGGTGGGCGACGTGGGCCGGCTTCAATTTTCGTGGGACTAGTAGCCTACTGAAAACACGGTTTGGTCACTTTAAGATAAACTTGACCAGATCTTTGTTGCACCCTTGTTCTCTTCCCACCTCTGCGCGCGCACTGAGGTAGTAGCGTCGCCGCTGCTTTTAAACTGTAGGCCGTGCTGCCCGATCAAGAGGCGCCTCGCCATCAAATGGTGTACGGTTGTGGCAAAGAAGGCCGTAGGTAGCACTATTCAGGCAACCTCAAAGGCACCCGTCGACAACGAAAGAAAGACGCTCATCATGCACGCACCCGACATACATTTGGAGGTACGACATGGATGGATGCATAGTGCTCCTTGCATGAGCTCAAAAAAAGAAGATGCAACCCAAAGGGGTGGAGAAGATAACAAACTCCCCTGTTCCTTCGAGAAAGGCTAGAGAGAAGATCAAGCCTTCAGAAGCATGAAAAACGACTGGCCAACCAAAAGACGTCAGTCTCGGTGCGGTTGAAAACAGAAAATATGTTTCTCAAGGTCCTGATCTGGGACCTCGTGAGAGGTTTTCATTGAGGAGGTTACCGCTAAGGTTGCGATTCAGCGCACAGGCAGGAGTGCGATCGATTTTCAAAGCGTAATTTCTCCTCAACCAGGAGGTTAACACTGTGAGAGCGACTGGGTGTATCGCCTAGGAGAGGACCTCGTGGCGTTTGGCATGAAAGAGGAGAAGGAGGGGGGGAGATGGAAAGAGAGCGCCAAGGACCAGGAGGCGTGGTACGACAAGATCGAGGACGGGGCGGCATGGTTCATGAGGAAATGGCACAGACAGGAGGCGGAAGCATCCGCGAAGCGCCAGCGCCAGCGCGCGGAGGAAGCAGAGACGGAGAGTACGGCCGCCCCGGGCCCGAAGAGAAAGAGAATCGGGGAAGCGGCGGGGGGGGGGA